GGTAGGAGTTGGGCACAATTGGCATAGGCGCTGGAGCTGGAAGTCAGGCCTGGCCAGGTCCATTTGAAAGCACTGGTGTGGTCAGAAGCCCAGGCAATGGCCAGCCAAGAGGGCAGCCCTCAAGCCCAAAGCAAAGCTTCTCCTCTGAGTCAGCAGAGCAGGAAAGCCCCTCATCGCCCTCCCAGAGAGGGCCCTTAGGCAAGACCCAGGGCTCCTGGATCTGCTCAGGAGGCAGACTTTGTTGGTTTAGTTCCGCTACAAGGCTTCTGTTCCTGCCTGAGCTGTTATAGCCTACAGATTCCTGGTACCCATCTGATTGAACAACTTAATTAAAATGCAATAAAAGGAAAGTGGGCCAGATGTGCCCGGGGAGAGGAGGCAGGCATCTGAGTCCACAGCCCGCCTTCTGAGCCCCGTGCCCTTCCCATCCTGCCTAAAGGCTACTAGCAGGCCGTGGCCAGGGAACTCTGACCTCCAGAGTCGGGTAAGGAAGACTCTGAAGGGTTATCTGCTGTGTGAGTTTGTTTATACTGATGATAGGGAAACTGAGGCCCAGTGAGGACAACTGAGTCACCCAAGGCTGCTCAGTGATACATTCACAGGAAGTACGATTCGTCTCTAGGACTTTAGGACTATCCAGTGCTTCTCTCACGAACCAGGTGGGAGAAAAAATTGCTTGAAAACACTAGACCCTTGTCCTTGGGGAGCACTCTCTCAAACTTGTTTGTTCTTTTTTAGTAACAGCTTTATGGAAATATAATTCACATACTATACAATGCATCCTTTTAAAGTGCACAGTTCAATGGTTTTAATATAATCGCAGAGTTGTGCAACCATCAAGGCAATCAATTTTAGAGTATATCATTACTCCTCCCAAAATGCAGTGCCCTTTAGCTATGGTCCCCCAAACTCCCCTTTCCTCCTACCCTGAAGGAACCACTGATCTACTCTCTGCCTCTGTATATTTACCAATCTGGACACTATATATAAATGGAATCATATTATATTTAGCATAATGTTTTTTATGTTTTTAGGATAATTTTTTAAAAAATTGATCCATATTGTATCAGTACTTCATTACTTTCTACGGTCAAATAATATTCCACCACATGAAAATGCCCCGTTTTATATATCCATTATTCGATGGACATTTGGGCTATTTCTCCCTTTTAGCTACAGGATTTTGAATAATGCTACTATGAATATCTGTGCACAGTTTTTGTGTGGACAGGTGTGTTCAGTTCTCTTGAGTACATCCATAGGAGTAAAGAAACCTGTTAGTTCTTGCATCTCATTAACAATTTCAGTAACAATACCAGTGAAAATCCTAATGCTTTACTGCACACATTGACTCAGAGAAAGTGAGAACAGGAAGCTGAATGGAGAGAGACCAGAGAGTTTAACTATTGTGATTCATCACACAGCCATAGGAGAGGGCTAAAGAGATGTCATAGCTGGAACACATGACAATTAGCCAAAAAAACTTTTATAATTTTAGGGGAAAAGCCCCGAAACATTTTAAAAACCACACACATATTCATCACATGTACTATCACTTTAATTATATGGATCAGTTTTTAACTTGGTCAGGTCCCTTTTTATCTATCTGCCTTGTGTCTCCTAGTTACCCATGGAGACCATCACACGCCCTCTCAGTGGAATTCAGTTCTCCTCCCACTTCCCAACTGTTTCATCTCACCCTCACCAAGCAGAGTGCTGGTGTTGGCAGGGAGTTTTGGAGCATGAGCGAGTGGAGGCTTTTTCAAGGACTCTCTTTGGTCACCGCTGCAGCTCTCAGAGCTCTGTATGGGGGCCACGTGGAGCCACACTGTTCTCTCCTGCTGCCTGGGCACTAGGGCCTGCTCTGCGTCTGTCACCAGATGTGTGCATGGCTAAGAGACTGAACTTGCTCTGGACACCTAGCAGGTTGAACTATATGAAACTGTCAACATTTATTAGTTTCTGATCTACGAAATGGCAATCTCATGTGGTTCAAAATGCCAGTCTCTGGTGTCCCCCTGTGTTCCTGCCAAAGGCCCAGATCTTGTGCCCTGGAAGCCTTTTTGGCCCTCCATCCCAGCTGGTCTTCCTCTCCTAACCTTCTAGAATGGCCATTCTCAATCTGGCTGCCAAACAGCTGTCCAATCTGGTGCCCGAAGGTGTGAGTGGGAGCAGTGGGAGAGCACTGGGCTGGGAGTCAGGAGACCTCTCCCACTCCCTAACTATCTCCCCACAGGTTGCCTTTCTTCCTTCCCCCCCTCCAATCCCTGCCTCCTAAAAGCACAGATCTGCTCTAGCCACACTGGACTTCAAATCCTGCAATGACTCCCCATTACCTAGTACAAATAAAGTGCGAACTCTGCAGCCTGGTCAGGAAACACAACCTTAGCTCCTGGCTTTTTGCTCCAGCTGTGCCTAACTGCTTGCAGGCCGCTGCAGGCACCTGCGCTCTCCCACCTCTGTGCCTTTCACCTGGAAGAATTGGTGCACCTTCCTCACTCAGCAGGAGTCTTCCCTGAATCTCCAGGCTGTGTTAGCCTCTGTTTCCATTTACCTGTGATTCTGTCTCTTCTGGCACTTACCATTTTTATTTTAACCATCTTTTTGTGTGGCTGTTCCTGTCTGTCTCCCTCTTCAAGCCTGTGGGCTCCTGACAATTCTACCTAATTCATACTTCAATCTCGGTTGTCAGGATAAGCAGAGTCAGCCAACTCTCATTTAACAGAACTGGTGACTGTGACTCAGTCTCCCCATTTGCTGGAAATGCCCAGAGGCTTAGGCCTGGCCCCTTGGCCTTATCTAAGCTTCATTTGCCGTCAGGAGCAGCAGGGAGCTGGTTTCAAGGGCTCCTTCAATTCTTATGGTCTAAGGAACTGCAATAGGAATCCTTACCTCCCAGGCCCCTCACAGGGATCCCGTGAGGGTCCAAAGAAAGTGATGAGACAGGATTGTTCAGAAGGAAAGTTCTAAGGAATTTTGAGGAAGGTTATTTTGTTGTTTTAATTCAGCTAGTGTTTGCAGAGCACCCACTAAGCGCATGCCAGAGTCAGAAAAGTGTCGGGGTACAAAGTTGTACATACCAGCTTCCCTGGATTCTTTTGAGAGCTGCCTTCCCAGCCAGTCGGGGGGTGCCTGCCCACTCCTGACCCTCTCGCTTTCGCTCCCGCCAGGACCTGCGCAGCAGATGCCCGGGGACAGGCGGGTCCAGGTGCTCAAACCTGCCGCCGCCCGCCAGGTCCGCGGCCCTCGGAGCCCACTGAGGTCGGCGGAGCGCGGCCTCGGCCTGGGCGCCCTCTGGCGGCCGAGTGCGGAAGCTGCGGCGCGGCGGGGAACAGGCGACGGGAAGGGGGAGGAATGGGGGAGGAGGAGGCGCGGGCAGGGGAGGAGAGGAAAAAGTTGCGCTGGGAAGTTTGGAAAGTTGGGAAGTGGCTGCTGCGGGCTTCGCCTCCCTCCGCGCGTGTGTGAGGGAGCGA